CTAACAAAGTGAGTGATTCGTTTGTGAGTGAATCTCCGTTATGTCACTTAGCCGACAGTAATACAAGTTTCTGGCACTGCAGCGTCTAGTATTCATATTTCATTTACATAGTTTGCCTATTTTATTCAACAAAACTAGCATAAGCTGAGTATTTAGTGCAAGTTGGTGCTACTTTGCGTTATAGTGAATGCAGTAAGTATCATCAAAAATGTTACTTGTTTAGCACAAAAGTTCATACCATACAAAAACGTAAAAAAATGAAATCTTATCTATGAAATGTTCTGCCTTTGTGCTTTGTTTTCTTTCTTTGCTCGTTACTACACCTGTACACAGCGCTAAAGTCCAGCATCTTCACATTGGCTTTAGTCTTGACTACTGCGGTTGAATGACTTTTGTCCTGGGAGTACTGTACAAATGTGGCGGTGATGTTGATGCATGCTCAGGGTCCGTATGCGATATCTAATGTATATATCTATGCATGTGGTCTAATTCAGCTTGTAGAATTGAAAAGAGAGGTGAAAGAGAGTGAACAAGAACAAAAACTAAAGTGATATAACCAAGCAAATGACATAAGTCAAGAGGGAACACAAAGAAACCAGCTGTCATTTATCACATTTCTTTAATTTTATTCAATTTTATATGGTTTAAATCCCTTTGTGGTGAGCAAGAAGTGTAAATGCTTTATTTAGGGTTTGCATGCGTTTAGTACTAGTTCCACTTCCCCTTTGTGGGATGAAAATACACACTAATGTCACCTGCAGGTATAGAAAGATACATCCTCTCATGTAGGTGCAGAATATATGTTCTCTTTTAAGTCAGCTGTCCATTTTGTGTGTTTGTGTGCAGTTTTTTCGTCCAGACGCAGTCAACAGCAATGTCGGTTTTCAGCACTGCTAGTTGTTTGCATAACTGTCAACCCTCTTGTTTTTCCAGGCATTCTCCCGTATTTTACAGTGATATCCCACTATCATCATGTAAAGGTATTTTCCTGTATTTCTCCTGTATTTTTAGTCATTCTCTAAAGGGTGGCAATAAATATTAAAGAGCCGATCCTCCCTTTATACAACCCATACCGTCAAACCACCAAGGACCGCCCCTTGCTCTTAAATGTGAATCTGTTCTGTGGTTTCATTTTTATTTAGGAATGAAAACACTTTGAAATAAATAAAGAAACAGTGGGATCCCCTTTCCTTTCCATTACAGGTGCCATCGCCCCCCCTGTGCAATCCTCAAAACAGTCATATAGCAGTGCGTGACATTCAGCTGACGCACTCTATAGTGATAAATAGATGCTGTTTCCCAAACAGATTCTGTATGCACTATTTGAAGCGGAGAGAAAGTCTGGGTTTTGGATGCGTGTTTGAACAGACATATACACATAATTAATTATCGTAACATCTAAAGATGTCGTTCTTGTTGGGTTTTTTCAAACACAACTAATTTTGTCCTAAATAAGCATAAAAAGTTCTAAAAGCAGTCAAATGCTTTCATTATAACGCTAGATCTGTGCATTTTTAAAGTAACACCTGTTATTTATTGTAATCAAACGAAAAATCCAAATAAACGAGAGTTTTATTCATTGCTCTTTATTCAGAATGCGTAGGTGATACAGTGAAGAAAAAAACTATAAGATTTGATAACCTGATTCTATTCGTTTATAATAGCTATTCATTTTAATGAGCTGAACTGTTTGCTAATTTTTTTTGCTGCTAATGTACAGCTGAAGTCACAATTATTAGCCCCTTTGAATTATTAGTTCCGTTTTCCCCAATTTCTGTTTAACGGAGAAGATTTGGGGAAGATTTGAGAAGATTTTTTTCAACACATTTCTAAACATAATAGTTTTAATAACTCATTTCTAATAACTGATAAATTTTTTTCTTTGCCATGATGACAGTAATTAATATTTGAGTAGATATTTTTCAAGACACTTCTATACAGCTTAAAATGACATTTAAAGGCTTAACTGGGTTAATTAGGTTAACTAGGCAGGTTATGGTAATTAGGCAAGTTATTGTATAATAATGTTTGTTCTGTAGACTATCAAAAATATATAGCTTAAAGGGGCTAATAATTTTGTCCTTAAAATGGCTTAAAAAATAAAACAAATAAGACTTTCCCCAGAAGAAACAATATTATCAGACATACTGTGAAAATTTCCTTGTTCTGTTAAACATCATTTGGGAAATATTTAAAAAAAGAAAAAAAATTAAAAGGGGGACTAATAATTCTGACTTCAACTGTATACTATTTATTTTTTCTTTTGTAAATAATAATGATAAAACATATTACTGACTGTTTAACTGTTTATTTACATTTAAACAGCTCCAGAAGAACAGATTTAGTAATTTGGGGATTGGGGTATAAGAGATATCCCTTATTATTGTGGGCATATCCCTTATTTTCACATCCCAATGTTGACAGGTTTGGTTCTTTGACGCTAGTTTAAAGTGTCCTAGGCATTAGATGCAACATTTTGAGTTTAGAAAATCATTTGTAGGTAAAATTTTGAATGCCTGTTGACCTTATTCTCCACAGACGAGCAGGCGCTGCTATTTGAATCTTTTTGCCACGAGACTTCCGGTCTCATTCACTTCCATTCATTTTTAGACATTAAAAACTGCTTGTTTCGCTGTTTGATGTTGCAAACTGATATTTCCTTGTTACATTATTCTTCTTGGTCTGTATAGTCATGCAAACATTTGTTTGTAGAACAAGTAGTTTGACCATTTTTTGCCGTTTATTATTCCTTGTCATTTCATAGGCGACTTAAATGGAAGTTCTAAGACAATCGCAAAAACAGGCGCACTTCCGCATTTTAGAATAAGGTCAATAGTTCAAAATGTTTTTTTATTTCATGGAAAATCAAGGATATCAGCCATGTGATTTCTCTAAATTTGGATCTGGAAATTGTTGAGGCATCATGCATATACATTGCTTGACTATGTTCAGGCACTCTGTTTTGTTTTTGATGCCTTATTATTTCACTTCAGACATTTAAATACATAGTTTGTTATGGATTCACACCCAGTCTGATTCAGTCAGTCCTCATGGGGTTCCTCCCTGGGTGGGTCAATAATGGCTGTAAATTACAATTGTTTTGTGTAACTATCTTTTCAGTACCTGAAAGGAGCTTTCTTGTGAGAGCTTGTTATGAAAAGCATAAAAGGGATAGGCCTCATGATCCTTTTGTTCACACAGAACATGCAGGTGATTGAGTCTCAAACTGTTAAAATGACCCGTGTGTAAGTCAGACTTGACTTCTCAAAATCAGACTTGATTTTGCTTTTCTCTGTTGTTTTGATTTGTTGTTAGCTTTGATATCACATGCATCTGCCAAACTAGGTCCTATCACACCGTGTTTAAAATGGGACCGGGTTATATTTGCCTTTTTACCTTTAGGTCAGGTCAACACTGAGCTCATCTATATGTTTCCAAAAATACAAACCTGAAATAGCCCCAACCTCTCTGAGGTTACTAGTTCAGTAGCTGCGCAGACGGATTGTTTATCAGAAAAGATTAGTAAACATTTGGATATGTTCTGTAAACACTGCCAATTTCATCCTCAAAATAAAGACTTTATATTTAGCTGATAGAAAAATGTCTATTTTTCAGAACAATAATATCATTATTGTGGTGATATAATTTTCATTAGAATTAAGCGCATCAAAAGGCCTATCGAGATTAATGGTTAACCAGATCATTGTAATCCTAATCCAATCAGTTATTTAGCTAATGGAAATAAATAGTTGAATCTATTGTAATACTAAAATCTTGACATATTGATGACAAATTTTTTAACTGGTCAAGTAATGAGAATTGGATTTATCTGTCATGAAATGAACGCTGTGATGCAAAAATGTCTTTGTTTAGTTGAATGTATAGGGATATCTGTAGGTCTGGTCAGTCTGTTGGCTGAGATAAACAAACCAAAGGGCTAAAGGCCAAGAAAAATAATCCTTCAAACTTCTGGGATTTACGCCCCTGACAAGAAAAATATATTACAGGCCACAAGTCTGCACCTACTCAATCATGATTTTTTTCCCCTTTTCATGACACTGAGTCGGGGGTGAGCTGTGGCCTTTGTGGTTTCTGCATACGTGCACACATTGAAACATATCGAACCTACTAAGTTTGGGAAGTCAGTATGTGCATTACGCAAACAGCTAAATATATCAGAGTGGCATAAGTAAGCACTTATATGTCACTACTCTGTGGAGTTTTGGAGTACAGACTTCTTCCAAATGTCACCGATAAATTATTTTTAGCCTATTTTTATAAACACATCCACCCAGTCTGGGTGCGCAGAAAGAATGAATCAGCAATTGTGATTTCATTTGACGGGTGTCTTAATGATGTGATGAATCATTTTTAAAAATGATTTCTCCTTCAGTGCTATAGCGAATGAAGCTTTGTAATGACGAAAACAGTCACGGCAAAACCGCACTTGAAGTAATTCAACATTGCTCAATGTTTACGACGTTTTGACTGATATCATCTGAAATAGCTTTTTTAATTACATGCCCCTTTTATTTGCTGAGTATGAAAGGATGGCGTATCGAAAAATCTGATTTAAAGGGAACACTAACACAAGAGCAGATCTATATTGATTTTTCTCATCATGTCAGAAGCTCTCTGAGTTAAGTAGGCCAGTGATTACATTGCAAACTGGTTCCAGCGATTCACTTAAGACTAAGACTTTAATGCAGTGGAGTTGTTCTGCTTTTTCATGGTGTCATGCAGCACTGCATTGTGGGTTGAATTAGTCATTTTCAAGGGAAAAGCAGTCCTCACACAGACTTAAGTGTACAATTTGATTATTCGCCTTAAAAAGGGCAAACAACAAAAGAGAGGGAGGGAGGGTAAAGTGGTGCATAGTGCGTCTGCCTTTCATTTTAAAAAGCTTAATTTTTTCTCTCGTAAAAATGTCAATGTTTGGTTGAATATTAACAACACCTGTTATTCTGAACTTACTTAGTTTTGTGCTCTTTATCCGACAGGTTGGAGTATGAATTGTATCTGGACTGCAAGAGCTGCGCTTTGCTAGAGCTGTACTCAAAATATACAGGTAAGGAGCAGGAGAGCTAAAACTAATGTGGTTGTTGACAGATGTTGTTTGTTTGTTATGGTGTTAATGAAACTCTTAGAGCTCTATTTTAACGATTTAGGCACAAAGTTTAAAGTGCAAAAGCATTAAGGGTGTGTCTCAATCTACTTTTGCTATTTTAAGGACAGAAAAATTAGCTCTGCAGCTTGACGCATGGTCTAACAGGGTTGTGCTAATTCTCTTAATGAGTTATGGGTGTGTTTTGAATATAACGTTCATTAAACCAATCAGAGTCTCATCTCCCATTCTCTTTAAGAGTCAGTTGTGTCAAGCCATGGCTCATTTGCTATTTACATGGTGGACTTTGTAAGTGGAAAAACTGAACGATTCACTGGCGAGAAAACAGTTAATCAAATCATCTGCGGCACGAGGATAAAGATTGAGCCTCCTTCATTTGGCCTCTTTACTTTCTCTTTACTTTACTTTTACTCTTTACTCCTTTACTTTTGTGAATTAAAAAAAAACTGTGGAAACTCACTCCACTGAAGACATCCATTCGACTAAATAAATATATTTTTTTAGTTTATTAAGCGCAAAGATTTGTTCCAAAACTATTTTAAATTCAGGTCTAATTTCTAGCAAAAGAATTAATGAACAATAATATAGATGTGTGATCATACAACTGAGTTATATCTAAACACACATCCTATTTTTATGCCCAATATGATGATGAATACGTCTCCAAATTCCGAAGGTGAACAAATCTACCTGTTTTATAAACAAATCTTGTTTTTATGAAAACAAATATAATAACATTACTTACATTAAAAATGCAAATTGTCATAAATAAACTGAAAAAAGCACCCAGGGATGATGAAAGGATTGAGGCTGTGGTTTTTATATTTATTTATAAAATAATAATTTTTTTGTTACATTTTATTCCTTAATTTTGCTTTTTAAATGTAAAGATATTTGTGTATTGCTGTATATCCAGTGTGTATTAAGCAATGTTTAAGCATTTGGACCTGCACTGGACTCTAAACCAGCTTTTAGTTGGTCTGAAAATAGCAACACATTGCGCCAAACACTTCTTGCGCCTTATTGCACCAGGCCCATAAGTATGTGTTTGTGCGTGTGTGTGCTCGTGTTTGTTTGTGTGTGTGTGTGTGTGTGTGTGTGTGTGTGTGTGTGTGTGTGTGTGTGTGTGTCTGTCTGTCTGTCTGTCTGTCTGTCTGTCTGTCTGTCCGGTTCTAGTATTCATAACGTTGTATGGACCAAATGTTTGTGTGTGTGTAATTTGTTTTTGTTTTATATCCCAGTGGGGACTTAAACCTGAGTGCACAAAGACTTATTGGGATTTTTGTCACCATGGGGACCAACATTAAGGTCCTCATAGGTTAAAATGCTTATAAATCACACAGAATTGAGTATTTTGTAAATGTGAAAGTGCAGATTGTTTCCTGTGAGGGTTGGGTTTAAGGGTAGGGTGGGGGAGGGGATAGAATATATGGTTTGTATTTCATCTGTGAGTCCCCACTAAGATATAGGAACAAGTCTGTCTGTGCGTTTGTGTGGTTCTGGTTTTCATCACATTATGGGGAGCAAATGTGTGTGTGGCTTTTTTTACTGTGTATTTCTGCAAATGTAATGCCTGGAGAACATGCAGCTTTTACCTCTGCACCACTGAGCCCCAGAGGCACCATACCAACCACCTGTGTGTCTGCTCGAGCCGAGTAATTGTATGTTTTTTTTTCTGTTTTATAAGTTGTTGAGTGTAATATTCCTGACAGGGGGCCTTTTACATGCCATAGAGTAAACTGAAACATGGCATAATGACGCAGCCTATAGCTCTCGCTTCACAACGCGTATTCCAGTCAGATGAAAAGGAAAACTCTCTAAAGACGTTGAATCAGAGCCATAACCTGTAAATCAAGGCGGCTTTGTGGAGGCCTCTATGTAGTCCACTTGAGTGTAGACCACTGCTCAGAAACACACATGAGTCACACTTACTGCGGTGGTAAAACAACCTCATGATCTGGCCTCGCACTCATGGGACATTCTCAAGGAGTGAGGTAAGGCCGACCCAGGAAACCTCCCAGCATTTTAGTCTTTGGATTGTTTCTCATTATGGGAAAATACTGTCACCACTCCCTTCAAGTGACGTTCCCTTTAAAAGAAAAGAGCCAGACAAAGTAATGGATTGATAGGTAGAGTTGAATGGATAGATAGAGTTGAATGTATTGGTTGAGATGAATGAATGTGTGGATAGATATGAGTAGATGGATGGAAGAACAGGTAGAAATGAATAGACCGATAGAGATGGTAGACAAATAGACATGTGAATGGATGAATGTATAGATGGAAAGACAGAAATTAATGGTTTGGATGGCTGGGCTGAGGTGGATGAATTGGTAGATAGGTACATATGGATGAATGAATGAATGAATGAATGAATTAATGAATTAATTAATAAACAGGTACAGTAGATATGGATGGTTTGGGTGGATGAAATGGTATACAGTTGAAGTCAGAATTATAAGACCTCCTGAATAACAGTATTAGCCCCCTGTTTATTTTTTTCCCCAATTTCTGTTAAACTGAGAGCAGATTTTTTTCCCAACACATTTCTAAACATAATAGTTTTAATAACTCATTTCTGATAACTGATTTATTTTATCTTTGCCATGATGACAGTAAATAATATATTGACTAGATATTTTTCAAGACAGCTTAAAGTGATATTTAAAGGCTTAACTAGGTAAATTAGGTTAATTAGGCAGATTAGGGTAATTAGGCAAGTTATTGTATAATGATGGTTTATTCTGTAGACTATCTAAAATATATAGCTCAAAGGGGCTAATAATATTGACCTTAAAATGATTTTTAAAAAATTAAAAACTGCTTTTATTCTAGCCGAAATAAAAGAAATCAAACTTTCTCAAGAAAAAAAAATATTATCAGACATACTTTGAAAATGTCTTTGCTTTGTTAAACAACATTTGGGAAATATTTAAAAAGAAAAAAAATCTGTATGTATAAATAAGTATAGATGAATGGATGACTAGTAAATGTAGATGTTTGATTGGAAATGGATGATTGGAAAATTAACTTGTTGGATTTATAAACACCACATTGTCACTGAAAGACCCCAGAATCACTGATATGCTTGAATTTGTATATTTAAAATGTGTGACTTAAAGAGAAATTTCTTTCCACTGTCCAGGATATTTTGCATGGGTCAATCAGTGTGTGAAAGCTTCATCATGTATTCGGGCTGTACGATATTAGAAAAATCTGATATTTTAATATTTTATTTTTCTTTGATAAATATTGCTATATGAATACAGTTTCACAAGATGGTTTGAAAAGCACTATTTGATGCTTTTCTGGGGAGTCTAACAGTATTCAGGTAGAGAAACTGAATAATCACAATGCAAACAAAATGCTTTTCTTACTTTTCAGTGCTTCCCACACATAGACTTTACTTGGGCGGGCTGCCCAGGTATATCAACGGCCGCCTAAGTATATTTAGAGACATTTTTTCTTAACTATTATTATCACCCTTTTAGACTTTTTATTTAAACAAACATCCGCAAGTGATTAAGAAGTGGAAAATCTTCTCTCCTTTACCTGTTTCATATTACTCGTTCTGTGTGTGCGAGAACTGTGTGTGATGACCCACAGAGTTTTCCCGTTTTTCTCTCATTTATTTCTCATTTGCTGTATATTTTATTAATTTAATGATAACATATTTTATACATCTAAGAGGCTTTGGCAATACTGTACAAAATGTCATGCCAATAAAACAACCTGAACTTGAATGAGAGATAGAGACTTGTCAGTGTGTGCACATGGCTCCTGAATAGCATAAAAGAGAAATAATGGATTTTTAAAATTTATTTTTAATAGTCTTTTTTTAACATTGACCCATTGAAAAGAAAAAGTTTAAAACAGACAATAATAAAAAATAGTGTTAAAAATCAAATTATGTTTTGTTTTTCACATATAGTTAACTATGTACTGTGGGTAAAACGTTTGTTTTAATCAGGCCACCACCGCAAGTATATTTCAAACCTCTGGGAGTCCAAATATCAAAAAATTCTTAGAGCAAGTAAAAATATTGTTTTGTTTTCATCTTTAGAATAAATAAGTCAAAATTAATTTTTTTCTTAAAACAAGCTAAATTATCTGCCAGTATGTTGAGTGAAATAATCTTGTTTTCGCTTTGAAATGTAGATATTTGGAATAGAAACAAGACAAAAATTTGAAGTAAGATTTTTTTTTTGCATAAATCATTAAAGATTATGTAGAAATGCAGTTATTAAATACAATTCTGTAGCTCCTGCTCAACTATAATTCTCACTTAATATTGCATAGCTTTGCGATGTGACTATTGTGGATACGCACACTGTGATATCGATGCTAAAACAATATATTGTGCTGCCCTAACCTGTGGTCAACAAATATTTATTAAGCGAAGGTGTACTGGCCCTTTTATCATGCAGTACTAAGCAGTTCGTATTGATTTGTTAAGTAATTGAATTCTCATTTAAGTAATTGATGACTGATTTCTGAACTCTGTTGATTTACACCACACACTCGGTTTCCTCCGCACTCATCTATGAAAGCAGTACTTATTCCAACAGCAAAAGACAGTGAATATCAAACAGAATTAATGGCATTATTTTATTACAACATTTTGTCATAAATCATGTTGAAAACCTTTGATAAAGCACATGCAGATTCTTGTAATCTTGTTTTTGTCACAGCATTATGAGTTTTCCTGTTTATATCACAAGTTTGCTGCACTGCTTTGCTTGCTGGGTAGGGGTACTTGTGCTGAAATATTGAGAGCATGGATCATGAGAAACAGTGCCAGCTGAAATACCAAACTTTTCTTTTAATGAAAGACTGTGCTAATATTTTATAGATGTGTCTGACTCGCAGCCATAGACACATTTCTTTGGGAAAAAAGTCCAGGTGTTTTCACTTAGACCTGTCTAGACCTCAATACATATTTT